TGCTGCACATTTGTCGGCTGCACATCCATCATGTGAATCTCCCGTTCCACCACATCACAAAGGTGCTCTATTGGATTGAGATCTGGTGACTGTGGAGGCCATTTGAGTACAGTGAACTCATTGTCATGATCAAGGAAGCAGTCTGAGATGATTCACGCTTTATGACATGGTGTGTTATACTGCTGGAAGTAGCCATCAGAAGATGACTGTGGTCATAAAGGGATGGACATGGTCAGCAACAATACTCAGGTAGGCTGTGGTGTTGACACGATGCTCAACTGGTACGAATGGACCCAAAGTGTGCCAAGAAGATCTCCCCCACACCATTACACCACCACCACCAGCCTGAGCTGTTGATACGAGCCAGGATGGATTCATGCTTTCATGTTGTTGAGGCCAAATTCTGACCCGACCATCTGAATGTGGCAGCAGAAATGGAGACTCATCAGACCAGGCAACGTTTCTCCAATCTTCTATTGTCCAGTTTTGGTGAGCCTGTGCCCCATTCTGATGCGCGGTTTGAACTGCAGCAGATCATCTTGACCATGTCTACATGCTTAAATGCGATGAGTTGCTGCCGTGTGATTGGCTGATTAGAAATTTCTGTTAACGAGTAGTTGGACAGGTGTACCTAATAAAGTGGCCGGTAAGTGTATATATTGTAGTGTGTGTATATGTATGTTTATATATTGGTATAAATATATCATTATCAGTTTTCTTGCTATTTTTAGTCATTAAACTTTTTTTTTCTTTTTTGTTTTTTTATGTATTGAGGTTAAAAACTATTAAACATTTCCTTCGTGTTCCAGAGTCTCAGGTTCCAGGAGTCCCGAGTTCTCTTCACGTTCGTCCGCTGGTGAACCGGATCGTGGTGAGCTGGACTCCTCCTGAAAACCAGGAGGTTTTAGTGCGCGGCTATAAGATCGGTTATGGCATCGGCAGTCCGCACGCACACACCGTCACTCTGGACTACAAGCAGCGCTTCTACAGCATTGATAACCTCGGTGAGCATCTGCACTGCCTTTAACCCTTTCACTCGTATGATCACTGAGGGATAGAACGTGGAGCACACATCATTAATCACAATTAATCTGTTTTCTCACACAAATAAAGATTATTTTAGGTTTCAAATACACATAGCTACTAGCTAAACAACATTTAAGGTTTGTAAAATACACGCAGATGTCTATGGGAGATGGCAATAATTATTATTTTTAATAATTTATTCTTTTTTATTATTATTATAAACATAATCAGTTGTATGTTTTGAATACCAGTTTAAAATATTTTAGGAATATTTTAGTTTCTTTTCAATTGTAGAATTGTAAAGTAAATTAATAAATAATATTTAAGATCATAAAATATTTATAAAATAATTAGTTTTTTAATATATATATATATATATATATATATATATATATATATATATATATATATATATATAAATAATAGTAATAATAACGGTTTGTATTGTTATTTTTTGTTATTGTTATTTTTATGAAAATGCAAAAATTATAGAATTTATAATATTTTGGATCATAAAAATTATAATTAATTATAACTTAATAAATAAATAAATATTATAAAATATTTTTTTGTAGTAATAATAATAATAATTATTATTATAATTATTATTATTATTATTATTAAGAAAATGTAGGAATTGTTTGAGAATAAAATAATATTTTTTTATTTAATAAGATTTCTTTAAATATTACCTAAAATATAAATATAAAAATAATAATAATAATAATATTTTAATATTATCATTATTGTTATGAAAATGCATGAATTACATCAAGAATAAATAATATTTTTGATTTAATTTGTTTTATTTCTTTCAATAAATATTACTCTTTAAATAATAATATTTTTTATTATTAATATCATTGTTAAGAAAATGCAAGAATTATATCCAGAAAAAATAATATTTTTGATCATAATATATTTTTTATTATTTCAATAAATATTCATCTTTTTTAATAGTAATACATTTGTATTATTATTGTTGTTAGGAAAATGCAGAAATTGTATGTAGAATAAATAATATTTTGATCATATCATATTTTTTACAGTATAATCTAGTAATAATATTTGTATAATTATTATTATTAATAAATGCAGGCATTATATCTAGACACTTTAAAAGCTGGTGCTTTCCCCTGAGCATGAACTACTTGGATTTTTTTTTTCATTCATATTATTATAATACATATTACATAAAATTAGTGTATCATAGTATCATATTGTTCTGTAGGTATATAAAAGTATTGGTATTTTGTTTTTATTTTAAATCTGTACGTTTTAGTACTGTACACTTATTATATTAAATCATTTTTTTTATTTCATTAAAATATTTTTGGATTAATAATAATAATAATAATAATAATTATTATTATTATTATCATTATTATTTTCTCCCTGTGTACTCATTTTATGTTTGATAGTGAGTTATTTTCTGTGGTAATTGCATGCTTTCCTCAAAGCTGAAATTGTGCTGAACTTGTATTTGTCTTTTTCAGTTAGTTTTCGAGTATTATTCGCTCGCAGGACACTTATTGTTGCAAAATATGTTTCTATTGAGTTGGCGTTACATGTGTTTGAGACATCTGTATTAATGTTTTCCTCTGCAGATGCCAGTTCCCATTACGTCATAACTCTCAAGGCTTATAACAACATGGGTGAAGGTGTTCCCATCTACAACAGCGCCACCACAAGACCTCAATCCGGTAACAGTCTCTCGCTGATCAACATTAGCGTTAATTAAGATATCAGTTCTTCTGTATTGTGCTGTACATCGGTGAAATCAGCTTCTTAAATCAGAACACGTGTAGGGGCGGGGATACGCTCCATTATGATTGGTTGGAGGTGTTGTGGTCTGCTATTGGTGGATCTCACATGATTGACAGCTTGCTCCCGCTCTCATGCCAGTAAAGATGTTGATTTATGTTCCATAATGATTGTAGGTTTTGATTGGATGGTGATCACATGACACCATTCACAGCTTTCTTCGGTTAACGTATGTATAAATGAATATTTAAGTATGTTAATGTACTTGCAACTGAAAAGGAATATTGAGTAGGCGGGCGGAGCTTTCTTTTTGCATGTCATTCCCTTGTTACAAACTAACAGTAAAAGGGGTGTGGCTTACAATATTGTGACTGAAGTGTCAGTGACATCATCAGAGAAGGAGCCAAATTAAAATGCAGATGCTGAGATTTTGACTGAAGATTATCAAAACTAACATAAAAATGCATTAACTTGACACTTATTTGGCATTTTATTAATTTGATGGATTAATTATTCACTTTAGGGCTAATAATGCGTGTTAGCATAATAAACTCTGTGTATTTAGAGTTCATACAGTAGATGTTAAAAACTATCTTCATTAATCGAAGGCACGTTTAGTTGAAGCCAGCTGTAGTAAACCTCCATCATGTGCTTTCAGATGGAGCGGCGTTTACTACACAGAGATGGAGTTCACTGATAAGCCACGCAACGATCAGTTTATTACGCAGCCGGTGGAAATAGCTCTGCATCGAATCAATGGTTGCAAGATTTTCAGCCTGTATTAATGCCATTTGCAGCGATTATTGCAACTGAATAACTGTACGTTCACACTGAAAGCGGCGAGAGCGTCCAAGTTCGCTCTGGCCGCCCTGGCGACAACGCTGTCTGCCTTCAGCTCCGGCGGCGAGAGCGTCAAAACTCGCTACATTGATCTCGTATTTAAAGGAGCCGTTGCAGCATATCAGTTACATTCCTGCATAAAACATGTTTCTAGCGAGAAAATGTTGCGCACTTCTTATCAAAATCATATAACAATGGAAGATCAAGTTGCGTGTGGTGTGGCTTTGCTCTATTTATTCAATATGTGTCCATATGTCTGAAATATCCTGAAGCAGCTGTACTGTTTTGTACTGTCACATCGCGTGAGATTCCCGCTTTTTAAAGATAAATTTATATAACATTAATGCACATCAGTAACTCGCCAGTGACTTATTTAACGCATGTTCCTGTAAGAAAACATTGTAAATAATTGAAAATCCGGCGACGGCATTCATCAAACACTTGGGAACAACTGTGGTCGGAACCAAAGTTCACTGGTCTGTGTTCTCTGAACTGCTATCAAGCGGTGGACGTCTTCATTCTGATTGGTTGCCGCCGAACCGCGTCATAGCTCATTACCATAAAGTTGACTTCATTTCAACTCTCCTCGACGCTCACGCCGGCGAAGACGCGCCGTGCTGCTCCTCGCCGCTTATCGCCACCTAACGCCGCCGGCTCTCATTGAAAATGAATGACTTCCGGCTACTTTGACGCTCTCGGTGTGAACGTACGGTAAGAGTATAGTTCCTAGTGCTGTTAGTCTGGAAAAGAGCAGTGTTCCGTTTCCTGTCAGTCTTCGTACACGATGTGACTGTAGAAGAGTCGAGCTTTAAATAGGACAAATGATCAACACTCTTTGGCCATTTTCGAGCGAGATGCTAATGGTCTAATCCGATTCAATGATTGATGCTAAGCTAAAAGTGCGTGTGTGTGTGTGTGTGTGTGTGTGTGTGTGTGTGTGTGTGTGTGTGTGTGTGTGTGTGTGTGTGTGTGTGTGTGTGTGTGTGTGTGTGTGTGTGTGTGTGTGTGTGTGTGTGTGAAACTGCGTGCATGTGTGTTTGACTGCATGTGACTGTGTCTCTGTGTAAATGAGAGCTGGCAGGAGCCACAAACCCCTCTGTTCTGGGACAGGTGTGTGTGTGTGTGTGTGCGTGTGTGTGTGTGTGTGTGCGCGCGTCACAGTGGTGTTCCTCTAGATCTGCAGGTGTGTGTCGTGTGCTGCTGCGTCTGTCAGTGTCTCAGACAGATGAAGCTGCTGTAAGAGCCCTGCAGACCCCCTGCTGACCCTCACACACACACACACACACTTATAGTAGTGTGTGTGTATCTCTCTTTCTCTATGTCTGTGTGTGTCTATATTTGTCTGTCTGTGTGTATGTATCTGTATGCGTGTGTGTGTGTGTGCATGTATGTTCATTATTCTATCTGGGAGAGAGAGAGAGAGAGAGAGAGAGTGTGTATGCGTGTGTGTTTGTGCGCCTGCGCGTGTTTATGCGTGTGTGTGTTTGTGGGTGAGCGAGCGAGTGAGTTTGTATGCATGTTTGTGTGTATGTGTGTGTGTGTATGTGTGTCTGTGTGAGAGTTGACCCAGAAACAAGTGTGTTCTCAGATTGTGATGATCATTCATTATATTTTCTGCTGAATCAGAGTGTGTGTGAGTGTGTGTGTGTGTGTGTGTTGATCAGTGGATGTTTACACAGAGGAATCAATAGTAATTCCAGGTGTATCTTAGTTAAACTAATCTTCAAAGCTTTATTGATCAGCATCAGGTGTCAGTTACAGGAGCCCGACTGAAATTAGAAAACACACACACACACACACTTTATCAGGATAAAAGTCGAAATACACACTCCAGCTCTACAGTTACACATCTGAAAATGCTAATCATTCATTCATTCATTCATTTTATTTTCAGCTTAGTCCCTATATTAATCTGAGGTCGCCACAGCGGAATGAACCGCCAACTTATACAGCATATGTTTTACACAGCGAATGCGCTTCCAGCTGCAACCCATCACTGGGAAACACCCATGCACACTCATTCACATTCATACATTACGGACCATTTAGCTTACAGCAAGAAGGTTGCCAGTCCTGGCTGGGTCAGTTGGCATTTCTGTGTGGAGTTTGCATGTTCTCCCCGTGTTGGTTTGGCTTTTCTCCGGTTGCCCAGATTTCCCCCACAGTCCAAACACATGCGCTATAGGTGCATTGATTAATTAAATTGGCCGTAGTGTATGAGTTTGGTGTTTCTCGTACTGGGTTGCGGCTGGAAGGACATCCGCTGGGTAAAACATATACTAGAATAGTTGGCGGTTCATTCTACTGTGGAAACACCTGTTGAATAAAGAGACTAAGCTGAAGGAATTGAATAAATAAATTATAATATTAATATTAATATATACATTTAAACAATGTTATTAATTATACATTTTAACAGTTAATTTATATTAATATACATTTAAACAGCGTTATTAATATATACATTTTTAAAAGTATAATTAATTTACTATATACATTTTAACAGTATAATTAATTTACTATATACATTTTAACAGTATAATTAATATTAATATACATTTTAACAGTATAATTAATTTAATATATACATTTTAACAGTATAATTAATATTAATATACATTTTAACAGTAAAATTAATTTACTATATACATTTTAACAGTATAATTAATTTACTATATACATTTTTAACAGTATAATTAATTTAATATATACATTTTAACAGTATAACTAATATTAATATACATTTTAACAGTATAATTAATTTAATATATACATTTTAACAGTATAAATAATTTAATATATACATTTTAACAGTATAATTAATATTAATATACATTTTAACAGTATAATTAATTTACTATATACATTTTAACAGTATAATTAATTTACTATATACATTTTTAACAGTATAATTAATTTAATATATACATTTTAACAGTATAATTAATTTACTATATACATTTTAACAGTATAATTAATTTAATATATACATTTTAACAGTATAAATAATTTACTATATACATTTTAACAGTATAATTAATTTAATATATACATTTTAACAGTATAATTAATTTTAATATACATTTTAACAGTATAATTAATTTAATATATACATTTTAACAGTATAATTAATTTTAATATACATTTTAACAGTATAATTAATTTACTATATACATTTTAACAGTATAATTAATTTAATATATACATTTTAACAGTATAATTAATTTTAATATACATTTTAACAGTATAATTAATTTAATATATACATTTTAACAGTATAATTAATTTAATATATACATTTTAACAGTATAATTAATTTTAATATACATTTTAACAGTATAATTAATTTTATATATACATTTTAACAGTATAATTAATATTAATATACATTTTAACAGTATAATTAATTTAATATATACATTTTAACAGTATAATTAATTTTAATATACATTTTAACAGTATAATTAATTTTATATATACATTTTAACAGTATAATTAATATTAATATACATTTTAACAGTATAATTAATTTACTATATAGATTTTTAACAGTATAATTAATTTAATATATACATTTTAACCGTATGATTAATATATACATTTAAACATTTCAGTTTGCTTTTGTTGTCGCTCAGTAATAAAACAACCACAAAAAAGATCACGTCAAATGAGAAATGACGATCTCTTTTGATGGCATTCGCCTCAATCCTCTCCATCATTCTCACTCTCCTCTTAGAGGGGATGGTGGGCTAAATTAAAGGTTATCATAGGCCAACTTTGGCCCGCCGGCCGGCTTTTGGGCATCTCCGTTCTAGAAAGTATTTAAAAAGTTTCATAACTTTATTCATCTTTTGTTAGTGATGATGAGCTGATAAATGATCATCTTCTGTGATAATCAGATCATCTGCTTAGAGATGATTATAAAAGCAATCCCTGTTTAAGACTAATGAAGCTCTGTGTGTGTGTGTGTGTGTGTGTGTGTGTGTGTGTGTGTGTGTGTGTGTGTGTGTGTGTGTGCGTGCGTGCGTGTGTGCGTGTGTTTAAGTACTTATGTAAATTCTCCAGTATAATCTGTTTACTTATAATGGAAATAATCTATTTGACACCAAACATGATCAGTGATTTGTCTTCTGCATGCTGTTAAACCTGAGAGATGGGCTTTGTGGATTCTAACACTGTCTCTTTTTCTCTTTTTCATTCATTTCTTCCCTTTCACCTCAACCCATGTGTCCGTCTAACCCTGATTAATCCTCCATGTTCACCCTTGTGATTTTCGTCCTGTTTTGTTTTGTTCTCCATTAATTCTGCTTCTGACGCTGCTGTCAGACCCCGTAGACCCTGATATTGATTTTTATGAACTCTTCAATAACCCATACACCCCAGCACCCGACCCAACACCCATGCTGCCCCCGGTGGGCGTCCAGGCCAGCGTCCTCAGCCACGACACTGTCAAAGTCTCCTGGGCGGACAATTCACTGGCCAAAAACCAGAAGATCACCGACGCCAGATACTACACCATCCGCTGGAAGACCAACATCCCCGCCAACACCAAATACAAGGTGCACACACACACACACACACACACACAGTTTAAGGGTGCTTTCACACCTGCCTTATTTAGTTTGATTGAACAGCACTAGAGTTTGTTTCCTCTTTTGGTACGGTTCCTTTGGGCAGGTGAGAATGCAGCAATCGTACTCGAGTGCGCACCAAAAGCGGACCAAATAAGCGTACCGAGACCTGCTTGAAGAGGTGGTCTCGGTACGCTTTCAAACGAACCCTGGAGCGGTTCGTTTGTGGTGAGAATATGATCCGTACTAAAACAGGTCCAACTGCAAAAAGCACTGCTCGTTTTGGACTAATCCAGCTGCCGTAGGCCGATGCGCTGTGCATTATGGGATATGGAGGAAAAATATTTGTTGACAGCGCTTTACCAACAGAGAGAGAGAGAGAGGGGAAAACATTACCTGATGAATCGTTGGTAATATTTTGCGCAAGATGAGCATGTCGCAGTTTAGCTAAATTAATTCACGTCTCCTCCTGAAGTGACGAGCGATGCATTAAACACTGTTTTCCAGCCGCGGCTGCGCTTCATTTTTGTAATGTGTAGTTTGTCTAAAGCAGGGATACAATCAGCCAGCGCAGTCGTCCCTCCAGAGTAAAAGGTTTTGTTTACCTGCGGGAGTTCACTGGCATTTTCCCGCACGTGAATTCTGACCAATCAATAAGCAGTTTAGGAAATATGTTCAACAACATCTGGCCAATGAGAGATGTGGATTTTGTCAGATGACTGCATTTTGGTTCGTTTCAACCAAGTGTGCCGCAAGCCTGCATTTGAGTGAAGGTTTCGGCCGTTAGATCGCCCCCTGGGGGCTGGCTGCAGTACAAGTCATAAAGCCCGCCTCCTCCGTGTTAATGAAGGAGACTTGAGCCCAAATAAAAAAAATTATTACACTTGCAATAAACTGTCCCGAAAGATGGTTCTGGTCGATTAAGGCACTGATTATTGTGCTGAAATAGGTGCAGATCTTCATTTTTGTAAACAGTTTGTTTTTAGCAGTAATTTAATGCTGGGCGTGTCATCGTGATTGACAGCTGTGATTGACAGTTTCTCAAAGCAGCGCGTCTGAGCTTCGGGAGGAGACTGAAATGTTATTATTCGATTTCTGTGTTATTTTACCATGACAAAATGAGTTCAGCAGTAAACTACAGTTTCTGACATACATGATCCTGGTGGAAACTGTTTATTCGCTAAGGTCAGGGCTTTTTTCGGGCTTTATTAGTTTGCTGATACATGCCTAGCCACCCAGATAGCAAAATACACTCGGGCCAGTTCCGGCTAGATTCTCGCCTGCCGGAGATTTACCCCTCAGAGCTCAGACTGACTACCTCTGCTGGACCTACTCCGGATGCCTGGACTCACTGCCCGATTCCAGCCCGAGTCAATCGAGCTAGATGCGGCGGCCGAGCGAGCCGGCGCTGCCGCATGCGAGCCGGAATCAGCCCGTGACCCCGCGAGTAGGTTATGCGCTGCGGCCCGGAGCTGGCGCGATTGAATATATAAAACCCTCATATTTGTTAACGTTATTACATCCATTTGTGTTGATATGACAGCAAACGCATGCTGAGAAGTTGGGGGGCGTGGTTGATTTTACATAAAGCGTTTGGTTGGAAGCTCGTATCCGCTCATTTTCGAGGCTCCTCCTCTGGCTCCATCAGACAATCCTTCTGCGCATGTCAAGGCTCCAATTTCAGCAGTCTTTTGCGACAGTTTGTGCCCGTCAAGCAGGCGTTTTGCCCTCAAAACGTTGAATGGGAAAAGGGGCTGTCGTGTCGTCCATATTTTTTACAGTCATTGGTTTCAACTGGTTTAGACCAGAGCCAGCAGTGTGGTGTGAAAACGACCCAAAGACGGCAGAAGATGCAACAATGCATCATTTATTACCATTGGTCCGGACCAAATGAAGCGAACTACAGATGTGACAGCATATGGACATATATGCGAGAGGATATCATGTGATCAAGAAATGTACATAAAGGAGCACCTGATTGTGATGAACATTGTCTGATGAAGAGGCGTGTGGCTCGAAACGTGACACGCTTTGTGTCAGCCTTTTTAATTTAATAAATGTGTATTTTTGGAGCCTTTGATGAACATTTAATTTACACTTACACTTATTGAATAACATTTTATTGTGTGTATTCTGCAAATCGTTTTAAAACAGCATACAAATACAATAAATAAAATATAAATATATTATTTATTTATTTATTTATTTATTTATTATGGCAGTAACGCTATTGTTCTGTACAATATATTACAGTATTTACTGTTATTATTGATAATAATTATTACAGAAATTATTGATGAAATTTTTAAAAAAATATTTTGTGAGTAAGGGATGTGAGGGATGTGCGTGCTTTTGTACAGTTTTTTGTGTAAGTGTAAGTGTAACAATACTTTACAAGGCAAAAAAGTCATGTCATATGCGTCATGCATGCAAAAAAAAAAAAAACACATTCAGAAGTCAAAATGACTTTAAAATAAGCAATTTTAGGAAACAAAGCCACAAAATTAAAATGCTAGTTAAATTGCTGAAAGACCTGGTGCTTATTATATTAGGACATTCTGATTATACAAATTATTTGAGCAGTGTGAAACAGAAAATCCTTACATATTGTTTGATAACAGCCAAAAAGCTGCCACTGTTGTAATGGATAAACGTAAATCCTCCAACTGCTGAACTATGGCTTGAAGAGTTGATATCCACTTTTCACTTTGAACGAACCAGACATCTTTTAAAAGGCAACATTGGACAATTTCAGAAGATTTAGGGCCCTTTCTTCTGTCACAAGCAATGTAATGTAACTAAAAAGTTGTTTGGATTATCACTGTATTGTATACTTACAGGCTGGGGTTGGGCTTTTTGTTTTGTTTTTGTAAGTTTATACGTGTCAGAAAATGAATCCTGGAATTTGTGATTATTGTAAGTCTATTCAATAGCCAAATAAAACTTAAATGACAAAAAACTGTTGAAAGAAAAGAAACAATTGATGTTTTACTGAACTTAATTCATTTGTTTTGAGAATTTGTTTCTATTCTTATTATCATTAATAATAATAATGCTGTAAATATTTTTGTTGTGCTGTATTACTGCGATATATTTATTTAATAAATACGTTTAAAATTGTTATTTTTTATCAATATATTTCTAATCATAATAATGTTTTCAAGATTATTATCAGTAAATACTTTTATATATTTTATATTAACATTGTACAGTGCAATTGTATTACTGCAATTATATATATATATATATATATATATATATATATATATATTTTTTTTTTTTTTTTTTTTTTTTTTTTTTTTTATTGTACGGCATCATTTTTCATTTCCAATTAATGAATACAAATATTGTAATTAATAAGTGATATTATACAGATATATTTTTCTAGTTATTTTATTATGAGTATTTGTATTTACTGATTTATTTAAAAAGATTTTTTAGAATCAGTAAATGGCGTATTTTTATTTTTATTGTGTGCAACAATATTTTTTATTATTGTAAAATGCTTTAGAATTGCTGTAATATGTGTGAATTTTTAAAAATCAGTGATGATTAAATGTTCCAAAAGTAAATAATACCAAAACCAGAGTATATTATCTAAAAACTTAAAAAAGGTTACAAAATATTAAATAAAAATTACTGTCATTATAAAAAGTTGGACTTTTGTAACTGTTCAATGTTAACAATAATTAAAAAACATCTCAAAAATACTAAAATGACTGTTGCTGAATCAAGTGTTCGACTGTGTTTGAGTTTACGTGTGTGTGGATCGCCCTCTAGTGCTCACTCTCTCTAAACACACTGAGAAACTGCATGAGTGCAGTAATGATTGATTGTAATATCTGAGAGTGTGTGCAGTGTTTGAATGACTGTGTTTGCTGTGCTTTGTCAGATGGCGAACACCACATCTCTGTTCCACACAGTCTCTGCTCTGAAGCCAAACACACTGTACGAGTTCTCTGTCATGGTGACGAAGAACCGCAGAAGCAGCACCTGGAGCATGACTGCGCACAGCACCACCCATGAGTCCAGTGAGAGACACACACATATATACATGCATATACACTCTGTCACACTCTCACTGTTATGTTTGTTTTACAGATCATGTGCTGTTCTGAAAGATACAGGAAGGAATTAGTTTAGTTTTTTTAGTCACATTTCTTCTTTTTACATCAATATAATCCCTATTTAACCTATATACTACTTATATAATGTCTATTTTGTTATTCGTCTATTTAAAGTAGCTATATCTATATTTATGTTAGTTATATTAGTTTATACAACAGTTCTGTCTGGATCTCGAATCTGATTGGCTGATAGCCGTGATAAATTTACGTAATATCAGCACCCGTACAGCCTCTTTACCCTTTGTGTATTACTTCGCCCACATACAGCCAGCAACAAGCAGACAATACAGTTTGACAAATATTACTGCTGTTAGACAGCTAAATATACTTTTGAGGCTTTTTAGTCAAGAATGTAGTTGATTAGATTGCAACTATGCAGATTATTTGCAAGAATAGTGCCTATTTTAAAATATTTACAATTTCGAAGAGAGCTCGTCGGCGACAGTTGACGTTTTCTATCCACAAGATGGCACCAGAACCGCATAATAAGCCCCTGCTCAGTGTGTTCTCTTGAGCGTGAATTAAAAAGCATAAAATAGGAAGCCTTGTGGTTTTTAAGGTGGACCGGATAGAGTCATAAGTAACTGCGAATAAGAAGCTGGATTCAGCCTTGTCCCTCTTTATCGCAAACACAACAGCAGTCTGGTAGGAAATTACTGTAGATGGATCTTAAAATGTAAGCAAAATTTGCTGTTTTGTCATCACCTTAAGGGGGGTCACACACCAGAAGCGCGGCTTCACATTATGCTTTAGAGAATCATTCAAACACTAGCTCTAAAGTGACGTTGGTGAATTCGTAACGGCTTCTGCTGTTCTGACGTCAGCTGCAAATTTGAATGAATGGTGTCAGAAAGTAGTTCCTAACACAAAAGGGTTTTAGACTCTCTGGGTTCTTTTTTGATGGTGTATGCGCAGAGCGCAAAACGCAGGGCGCAAACACTTTGAGGGCGTGTCAGAATGCATTTTTGCTAATTTAAGGACGGGAAAATCCGCTTTGCGCCGTGGCACATGGTCTAAAAGGGTTGAGTTTATTTTCTTAATGAGTTATAGGTGTGTTTTGAGAATAAACCAATCAGAGTCTCATCTCCTATTCCCTTTAAGAGCCAGCTGCGTCGCGCCATAAGCGCATTGCTATTACCATGACGTAAAGTAAGTTCACTTTCGCTTTTGCTCTCGTGGATAGGGAAACCTTCCCGCACAGACATCAATCAGCCTATAAATAATTAATTTGGTTTGTTAAGCGCAAAGATTTGTTTCAAAACTATTTCTAAATTCAGTTCTAATTTCCAGCAAACGAATAAATGAACAATAATAACAAAGTGTGGTGAAAATACTGAGTTATTTCCAAATACACCTGCCATGCCCCATATGATCTAAAACCTGACAGGGGGACAAATCTAAGCTTGTTTTTAATAAAACAAATATAAATATGGATATAATAAATAATACTGCTAATAATAATAACATTATACAAAAGCAAATTGAATGAACTGAAAAAGCCTCCCGAGATGAAGAAAGTATGACGGCAGTGGTTTTTAAATCTTCATGTAGGCTAGAAATTATTGTGTTTTGTAATATTTAATAATTTATATTTATATCATATATATATCCTTATTATATCCTATATATATATCCTTAATATATTATATCTTTTTCATATGTAAAGATATTTGCGTATTATATCTTGTTTGTAGTGTGTAAGCCAGGCGCACTTTGCGCCAGACAATAGACCAACTTTGTTCTGGTCTAAAGATCAGACTATTTACAGTTTCTCAGAATAGCAACGCGCCAAAACACGCCTGCTTTTGTAGAGCAGAACGCCTATGGGCGCACATTTGAGCGCAAATGAATTTGCTATTTAAACAGCGTGGCGCAAAACCTCAAAATGACCCTTGCGCCGAGCTGAAAGTAGGAAAAGAGTATTGCGCCGCGCCTTGCGCCACATTGCGCCGGGTGTATGATAGAGCCCTAAGTGTTTGATTTTCTTCTTCATGTACAAGAGTGTGCCGTCAAACTGATGTATAAATGCAATATCACAGTCAGTCGTTGCTGGCCTTGTGCCAAATCACGCCTCCCACCAGTGCTGATATACAGCCATTGCACACTGCAACTCATGTGATATTGCTCACATACATATATATATATATATATATACACACACACACACACAATTATGTTGATAACCAGTTTTCTCAACCTCTATGCAATAAGTTTTGTGCATAACAATAACAGTGCATGTAAAGTCATTAAATATTTACATTATATCTACATTATATATGAGTAAATGAATGCAAATGAATGCTTGGTGGTTTTATTGTATTGTGTCGTGTTGTGTAGTTCCCAGCTCTGCACCGAAAGACGTGACGGTGATCAGTAAAGAAGGAAATCCACGAATCATCAACATCAACTGGCAGCCGCCGACTGAAGCCAACGGCAAAATCACAGGTGTGGAAAACACAGCAGCAATACACACACACACACACACACACACACTGAGAAGCAGATCATTTACACTGAGACATCATCTGCAGGACACTCATTACATTTATATATGCAGATAAAAGTACAGTCAATTCAGCATTCAGTCTGTGTGTGTGTGTGTGTGTGTGGAGGAAAATGACTCCTAAATCGACTATTTGGAAAATGCAAGTGTGCAGAATGTTTCCTGCGAGGGTTAAACACATGCAGATTAGATATAATGAAAATAACATGAAATAAACATCCATCATCATCAGCTTAGATATTAATAATCAATCAAAACCCTCCCATCTTAGCCTCTCCATACCCACCATGTTTGTAGTTTAACACTTTCTACCCATGTTTGTAGTTCTAATTGAATTTGCTTTCAATGTGCAATGCATTAAGGATAATATTAACCATTACAGTGAGCTGGAATCTCATGAAGAGCGTCCAGGTGACACATGCTGCAAATCAGCCTATCAAATATTATTTACTTGGTAGGGTGTTATGTGAATATTTTCACGGGAAGTCCCCATAACGCATAAAACTTCGTACATGTTTGAGTGTGTTTGTGCATGTGTGCTCATTTATGTGTGTTTGTGTATGCACATGTGTTTGTGTGAAAGAATGCACAAGTATCAGAGCGTGTGTGAAATGTTTGCTGGCATCCCGTCGGGTTGGTCAGTTTCTGCTGCAATGACTGTTAAGACGAGTTGATTTAGGATCTCATTTCCATCCATTTAGCCGCACATCTGTGTGTTTCTTATGAGTGTGTCTGTGTGTGTGCGTGCGTGTTTAATAGCTCTACTTGTGAGGTCTCACTTATATAGTGAGATATCCAAACAAGCCACTAGTGTTGACATTTCACTGCTCCTCACTGATTAAAAGTGCTTATAAATCAGACACAAGGTGTTTTATTAGTAAGGTTAAGGTCAGGGTTAGGGGCAGGCCACAGACACTAACAATAACCTGATAGAAAAACAAGTCAATGCAATGTCCTCGCATTGTGTTTCAGGCTACATCATCTACTACAGCACGGATGTGAACGCAGAGGTTCATGATTGGGTGGTGGAGCCGGTGGTGGGGAACCGACTGACCCATCAGATTCAGGGCTTGACTCTGGACACCAGCTACTTCTTCAAGATCCAGGCCAGAAACTCTAAAGGCATGGGGCCCATGTCTGACGCCGTGCAGTTCCGCACTCCGAAAGGTCCTAACACTTCTAAACATCAGCCTGTTTACTGACCTGCTCATGCTCACTCATGCTTTTGTCTGTTCATTTACAGCTGAACCCTCTGACAAGATGTCCAGCGATCAAGGTAAATCACCATGTTTAACACAGTCACCGAAAATCATGAAGTTAAATGAGTTAGTCTAGTGCAGGGGTGTCCAAACTCAGTCCTGGAGGAGCGGCGTCCTGGAGAGTTTAGCTCCAACCCTAATTAAACACACCTGAAGCAGCTAATCAAGCTCTTACTGGATATACGCTTATTTCACGCGGCCGCCATTTTAAAGAACCAAAGCGAGGCTGCGGTGGGAAGAAACCCGGAAGTATAAGACGAGCACTGTAAACATTGCAGTAACATACTGTGTACTACAAACCTCCAGCTGTTGCCGAGTTTTCAAAAAGCAGAAAATGGTGTAAACATCACTTTAATATTATTCAGTAAGTTTATTTTAAACAATTAAAAGCAATTTAGCATCAAACAACATCACAATCTCATTGATACGCTTAAGTGTCCTCCTAGGCTTCAGCTCATGGCACTAGTTAAACACCGTGAGGACACTTTCCTGCTTCAGTCTATGTAAACCAGTTAGTGTTAAACACCGCAGTCCTCTGTAGCACACCCTCGTGTTGTCCTGGTACTGAAGTTTTAAACCCGGCTATTTCCCCGCTAACATGGAAGCGCTGCTGAGCGCGGATGTCTCGACACGACTGATCTTCACGGCTTCGCGCTTCCGTCTCCATGTATCTGTGTTTGGTTTGCACTCAGTTTACCGCTCTTCACCCAGTGCAAGCACAGATACTCGGACTGGAACGCGTAGCAGCCGTCAAGATCAGTCGAGTCATCAAGCAGATCGCTCGGCTCGTCTGTGTTTGTGCTCAGTATACAGCGGTGGCTGAACTGATGACCTTCTCGGCCAATCACAATCATTTCTGTTGAACATGTGACCACAATGGCAAATCAGCGCTGTTTTTAGAAAGCCTTAAATGTTAGCGCAAAATTGCCGGTTTTTCTTTTAATTCAGTATCGTGACAAGTCTAATATAGTGAAAGAATCAGTTTATTGACTCGAGTTTGATGAATGGCATCTAAAACGTGTGTTTGGGAAAGAAAACGTTAGCTAACTAGTGCCATTTCCCTTAACTTAGCTGAAAATGAGCTCTATCCTTTTTACATTCACCATTCATTCAGAACGGACCTTCGGGTTACCCGGAAGGCGGAGAAATGATAAATCTGTGTCACTTTATCTTTGCTGATAAGATATACAGCCAGTTACACAACATTTATATGTAACTCCCAATGATGCTTGCGGTTTTCTTCACACCGCAGCCTCGATTTCGCTTTTGAAAATGGCGGCCGCGTGAAATCAGACTATACTAGACCTACTGGCAGGTGTGTTGAACCAAGTTGGAGCTAAACTCCGGCCCTCCAGGACTGAGTTTGGACACCCCTGGTCTAGTACTTAAAGGGATATTTCACCCTAAAAA